AACAGCAGCAGGCAGGTCAGCTGATGGTAACATCAACCACAGCAGCAGCAGGTAGGTCAGCTGGTGGTAACATCAACAGCACCAACAGGCAGGTCAAGCGGTAGTAACAGGAACTGTGTCATCCAGAAAACCATGGGAACTGTGCATGTATACATGTACAGTACACATAGCCACCACAGCAAATCGCCAGCAAATGTAATTCAAAACACTGACTCAGCAAAAACACACCGGAACATACAACTCACCACATGAAATGACAACTGACTGAACATTGTAGATGTACCACACAGGATTTTATTCCCTAAGCTATATAATAAAACCTTTTTAAACAGGCCAACATCAAATTCGTTAAAGCTTATCATCTACTTAAGTTTACAAATAGTAACTTTGTTTTCAAGATGTCCGTGTATAATGCATTTCAGTCTCAGTGAAATTAATGGATCCCCAAAATTAAATCATGCAATAAATCTGAACTCTCGGCATTTATGCTAGATGAAAGTCCCTCAGTTCCACACCTGTAAGACTTCTCTGACACAATGGAGCTGACAGCTACGCAGACTTGAAGTGGATGCCCTCTTAACGTTCTCTATTTCTCACATGGAAAGCTGACATTTGACAATTATTTCTGCAGCGACTTTTGCACCATACAGTTCTTTGATTTCTATAATTATGGTGTACCCCTCCTAGTTGAAACCAATCTGTCAATCAAAGACAAGGTGTGCTCCCTGATCCGGGCGGTAAATTTTAATGTTTATGTCCATTCAACATACTAGTACATGTACACATCTGCACATTCAAATTGGCTGATAAGAAAGAACAGTGTTAGGACTTTGAACTAAAATTAAACATTTGTAAAGCATGCCAGTACGGCGGGTGAGAAAAACTTATGACAAAGTAATAATCCACGTACATGTATATCGACTCCGAAACAAACAAGACATGAAATTATTTTCAAAAAGGAATTTCTTAAAATTAACGGGGTATGGAGGAGGGGAACACTAATGTAAAGAAAAGATCAATGATGCCAAAGTCATCAAAGACAAAAGAGGCGACAGACGAAGCTGATACAGGTAGTTACACGAAAGATTTATTCTCTTGGACTCATAAAACGTTGTGTTTCTATTGCATGACAAAGAATAGCCCCCCCCAAAAAAAAATCGGAGCCACAGGCTTAAATGCCGAATTTGTCTGCAACCTTACCTTGGGATCAAAGGGCCTCCTGGGGAGATGGCTGTGTGGTGCCCAATACTCACTGGCCAGCTGTGTCAGGATATCGGCATTGATCTGCTCAACGGTGGGAGCCTGGGACCTGCCCCCTCCTTTCTTGGTCACATTCATGAGGAACTACCTAGTGACTGCCTGGTACCGTACGTCTTTTGCAGAAAAAATGGTGACTTGCTCTGGTAACTGATTACACAACTGCAGTGGAAACAAAAGCAAACAGCATAAATGGGTTATGAGTAAATCTTGCTCTGAAATTGCGAGTTTCAAATGGGATTTTGTAACTACTGGCATCTTTGAAGTGATCCATTGAAATTCTGTGTTCTTAAGGAAAAGCTCAGAGACCACAGCTTGGCATCTTGCAGGATGATGTC